TCTGTCATCCGTTAGTCGTTGCCCCCTCGAGTAGAACGTGAATAAGTGGATGCAATTTATATTTGTCCTTTCAGATCGATATTGACAAATAGCTTTTGCTCCTTTTCACGCTTGCCAGGCGTCTTGAACAGGATGTCGGTTTGCCCTTCACCCTGGCTGAGTAACACTTGCAGATGACGGCTTTTCGTGCTCAGGGTTTTCTTCAGTAGGCTCTAGTTCGCTCTTTTGCTCTAGCGGTATCTCTTCTACACTACCGAGCGATACCTTATCTCGCCGAAGAAATAACTGACGTAGTTTACATTAAAGTTACGTTCTGTCAGAAATATAAGATTAGATGTGCAGACTGGTGTGCGTGGATTCTGTCGCTAAATATTGAACGGCCACGAATGCAACTGGCATCATTAACTAGAGACGTTCTGCTTGTGCAAGCAGCTCAAAGTGATGACCATAAAGAACATCAGCACATTAAGCAGATACGTATGCTCTTCAAGATCAAGCAGATATTCCCAAGTGATCGGTAACTCTAGTAGAGTTGATTTCGTTTATTTTAAACTGCAGTTTGCTAGAAGATAAACTGTGCCTGCATTTTACGTTGTACGGTGCTGTTTCATGAAGAATGAGCCATCTGAGCAATCTGAACCCACCGGGATTGTGCGTGGATTGGAACTCCCTAAGACTTAAACGAGAAATATTTGTTTAAAAAAACGAATGACAACAATGATTAATTAATGGTTTTCACTGCCGATCCGTTGTTCAGGAAAACAAAAACAAACTGTTTTCAAGAACCGTGGATCGGGAAGCAAAGACTGTTGGCTGTTACTGAAACTTTAAGGCAACATAATACCTCATTCTAACCTATTTGAACTAATGAGAGTGGCGTTTTTCTTTTATAGTAAATGACGTAACCTGTACAATTTATTCAGTTACAGTACAAAAGCGATCGATCGTGAAGTAACAAAGCGTGTAAGAGATGATGACACCTCTGGCATAAATCTGAGATGACCTTGCCTTAGCACTGATCAGCAATCATTGAAATCATATTTGCAGAAACACTGGCGAAACTTAAGCGCTAGCTGTGTTTCCTCGACAGTAGTCAGCTTGCAGTTGTGCCAGTCGACTTTGTCCGGCAAGTTCAGCAGTTGTGCCGAAGCCAGCACCTCACGTCCGAACTGTAAAGGAAAATTTTTGTCCACTGTCGTGAACAGCCGTTGGCCGTACGGCAGTTCGGCCGTGAAATACGGCGTCTTCTCGTTGACAAGGTCAGAAAACGTTACGTTGTCTGGCAGCTCCGTCAACTGAATATCGTATTTCTGCGCTGTCTGAGTAAAACACGGTTTAATGGCGTGAATCAGTTCCATCGGTAGTGGCACCGCTTGGATTTGGAGGTGCTGGGTTCGGTAGTTGCGCTCAAAAAATACGACGCATTGGCCCTTGTCAGAAAAACACCTTTTCAGCGCTTCCTTGTATTTCTCTACCTCTTCCTTAACCTCTTCATTCGCCGTCACCATCGACTGCACATGGGCAATTGGCAATATCAAAAAATGATCTTCACACAAGCCACCCTTCGCTAATGCCAAATAAGCGTTTTCGCCAATAGATACGATCATGTGTTTCTCCACTTCTGGACTGGACAGGCAAAACCAACAAGGGCCAGGAAGGGCATGCTTGTGTAAGTAATCAGGCTCTTTCTTATGATGCCGTTTGCGACTCTTTCTAAATTTATGTATATAAACTTTGTCAACCGGAGTAACAACGAAGAATACCTGCTTAAGTCCTGCTCCGGTACTGTCGTCGATACATCACTGGCATCCAACTTTGGTAACAACTGCATAATGCTTGAAAGCTTTTCGTCCTTCGCGGACTGTTTCAAAACAGCTTGCTGCTCGACTTCTTGAATAGCCTCGGTGTAGGGAAATTCTGTCGCATTCGGCGGCTGTTCGGTCAGACGCGTACGTGACAGGTAACGCATCGGAACGATATGGAATGCATAGAGATACTTCAACTTTTGAGGATTGCCCACCCGTGCAAGGCCAACAAATCTAGACGTATGCTGAGCACCTTCTTGTTGAGGATTATGGTTTCTGTATGGAGGGCGTTCATAGTGACAGCCCGTGTTAGCAGCAAAATGATATCTGGGCTTCAGAGCTCCAACAAGTTTTGATATGAGCCCTGAAGCCTTGAGATGGTCTTCTGAATACA